ACACATTATACATAAATAATGAGAGAGTATATAATTCCATACCCACTACACTAAACCAGATTCAACTCAAATAGTCAAATGGAACAATAATATCTGCATTCGGCACTATAGGTACGTATGGAATCATAAAATATGAGTGTCCTAATCGGGCCAATTCCTAGGTCTCTAATATGCAAATCTTTAAAGTAGGTTTACTATATTATAGTACAACCTAAACAATCTTGCCAGCCATTTTGAAAATGCATTATAATTCTTTGGGCCACACAGAAAATTAGATTAAAAATATTATGATATTATTGTAGCGTCGACGTTGTCAATAAAATAATACAGGCACCGCGTTGGGCGGACATTCTGGAATATTGTTCTCTCGTCTGGTCAATATAAACAAAACATTTTTACATAGCGAATTTTCTAGGGAAAATTTAAGGAAATCTCGAGGGCCATACAAGGTGGGCCGCGGGTTGTCCACTCTTGTTGTAGTACATGTTATAATGCTGTTACTACTCAGTACTTACTGCAGACTTATTGTTATTATTTTGTAGACTACTTAACAGTTTAACACATACATATAAGATGTTAGTTGACATTAATTTTATATCTTGTGATTTCTGACACAACGATCAATCGTTATCTTAGGCGGAGATACTGGCAAATATTAGGAGATGATTAAATATTCGATAGCATAATTAATAAGAATAATGTGATGGATCTACCACCACATAACCAATGCAAACATTTTAAAAGAAAAACATTATATAGGTACCTTCTTAACAAGTAATTTAAAACAAAATATTATAAAACATAATAATAATGAATATTAATACCATTCAATGTATTACTCGTATTTATCATTGAGTTTAATATTATAACATTATACAGTTATTATACTTTAAGATAATATTTCTTTTAGATTCTGAGCACAGAGCTCTTGCATTCGTTTTACAATGTAGTGTACGTTTTTTTTATTTTTTATGTTTCTATATATATGTATGATACATAGTAGAAAAATGCATTCAACTTCAATCATGAAGATGGTTTTTGATAGGAAGTAGGATCTAGTTGGTACTTTTAAAAAGTCAAAATTAAATATACTAATTTTTTTTTTTTAACAATCCGAAAAACCAAAATTTGTCTACCTACATTATGTTATTCATTTGAAGCTACCAGTAATAACTATAATGATTTATCATATCTCTAACTTATATGTTTATTGGTATTGCAGAGAATAGATTTATTAGATTGTACAATAATTGAATAATGCATAATGTTTGATGGACATAATTATGCTCGGATTACGTTTTATTTGACTTCTCCATATTTCATAAATACAATCTGTTCTGACAGATTTAGATAAAGTTGATTCTATTAGAGATAGGCTTTCCGTAAAGAAATGTAGGTACCACTATCGCCTCTAATCTTATAGACAAATGCAGGTTATGGTAGTATTTTGACGTGGACATTTTGCAGAAATACTTCAGACAGAAAATATCACGGACCCAGGCTTAGGCAAATGTGGTTGGTCATAATGGCATCATTTGTCAGCCTTAAGGAGTATATATAGGCTTATTCTTTTTTCTCGTCGTCGTCGTAAATATCGTCCCTTTACGTCGCCGCCTTTTTAAGTTACATTATGTATGCCCCCGCTGCATTTATAGGATTTCACGTACTGCGTAGCAAATAAATTACGGATATTTTTGCTGTGAAACTTTATCATCCATTAATATTTTACTGTTATTATTTGTTCAGACATTTACATTAATTCAGCAAGTTTTCAATAATCTTCTTATAGGTTCTTTGTCAAATGTTGACCGGTTAACAAGAATTCATTATATTATATTTCCAGTCTACGTCAACAATATTTAATAGATATAACATTGTCTTAAAAAGTTTATTCCTTTGACAAATAAAATAGGTACCGCCTTTCAAAGTTTGAACCACGCATAATATGCTCAAAACTACAAAAACAGTTATGCTCTGTTACTATAGTATATTATTATTGATTATAAATAGATAGCTACTATGTATTTACTAATATTTATAAATTTATAATCAATGGTTATAATTGGCTATCATTATAATGATAGAGCTAACCTTGTTACGTTATTTTATAACATTAAATTTACATGTTTATATTAATACGTTCTAATCAATCATAATATATTAATATTTAAAATTAGTTTAATTATTATTTATCACTATATCGTAGTTAATATTATGATTTGATAACATAGCATACTATGTTATGCTGCTAATTTTATATAATTCCTGCTGGCCACTAAAGTGTAAGCAAAGACAATTTCGGCACATAATACGCTTGCGCCTTATAAATATCTATACATAATATGACCATAATAATTTACCCATATAATATAAAATCATATTTTTTTTTAATGTCAAACTGCTCATTACAAATTCCACGTGACGAACGATTGTTCATCGGTAGATCACGTCGATCGGGCCCCATAAATAATATAAATATTCCATTATATTTTAGTGTACTGCAGGAACAGATAGGACTGTGACGGAATGTCGAGCCGGCCATTTGCCAAACACCGACGTCGGTGGCGGTGGCGGAGGTCCGCAAGCGAGTAACGTCCTGAATATTGATTTGGGTAGAGACCCCCTTTATATACGCGCCCCCCACTTTATAGGTATATACTATATATAAATGTATACAGGGCACTCGCTATTTTATGAGAATGGTATTTCCGCCACGGTGTATAGGTACGTATAAAATGGTATCTCTTGCACCCATAGCACGTGGTTACATATTTTGTGTTTTTTTACTCGATCTGACCCGGTTAGAAAGATTTTTCGATCGAATCATTTATTCATCGCCGATATAATGCGATATTATACAATGATGTGCACCAAAATTAAATTAGTTCGTTTTATTCTATGTTGTATCGCGTGTGCACTGTACACGAAATGGAAGTCAAATTTCGAAAATGCTCTCTCGTGACACGTTTAGCCCACTGAAAATGATTGGACGTGATTTGAAGGTATAAGTGACTATGCCATTCGGTAACCGACAGTTATTTTCACCCCCATGACTTAGTTTTAGTTATTTTGTACACAGCTATTTTGGTGCCTATTATAGTTCTATATAGATAATTATGTTTATAGTTATTGTTATAATATTCTAATATGTATCATACTCACATATACATATACAATATACATGTAATAAATTGTATTGTATATATGATTTGCCATTCATTTATAAATTATATGAAAATATTAGGTATGTGTTTGGAAATGGTAATTGGTTAATTCGTAATACATATTAAAGTCATAGACAATAATACAATTATTGTGACAGTTGGTTTGTCGTTTTAAATGGGTTGTGTTGTACCACAAAATTAACGTAGCGTAATAGATTTTTTTTTACTGGTTAGTAGATGACCTTTACACGTTTCTTGGTGGTTTATGAAATAAATAAAATAAAAATTAATGTTTATTCCATTTAAAAATGAATAGATGATTCGCTGAAGTGTGACAAATTACGGTGAAAACATATAAGAATGTACTATGTAGGTACTCGCGTGTTTGAAAAAACTCTTAATTTTAAATATTATAACTACTATCTATAAATTATTCCTACTTTTTAAAGACAGAGATCATACTAAAAATTTTTTTAATATAAACTCCATCACTTATTTATATATTTGAAAATGTAGTTTCACAAGTATTCTTAACGGTGTATTTATATAGGTAGATATAAGGTACAATGGTATATTTACCTATATACATATTTATAAATATTTAAGTACTAAATTGTAAATAAAGATTATTACTTGATATATAGTTAATAATAATGAATTCTATATGGGTACATAACTTTGTACATATGATGTGAATATGTAATTGTCAATTGATACCACATTATTGTTATTATGTACCACATAGATAGCAGTACCTAATTACATTGCCGTTTACCCAATTCGTATTATATTTAATATTGGTACCTACATTATAGACTATATATTTATAGGACCTTCATATTTATTATTTAAAGTCGTATAGAATGTACTAACTATCATAGTACGACTTTAAGTATTTTTTTAAAATGTTTATCAGTTGACTATATATATTTCTGCAGAAGAAGCTTCGGTGTTGATTTTATTTAAAGAATCGAATATTATAATCTTTCTAATTTCTGCATGAAACCTATATTTACTGATATTGTTCATATTATTTAAGTTTATGATTTATATTGCCACTATTCAGAAGGCCAGTCTACCGACACAGTACCTATATCTATACAGTCATAACTCTACCTTTTACTTTTCAGCCACATGAATGCTTATTATTAAGTGTATATACTGGTATAGGTACTGTTGGAAGTCGACTAGCCGTGCCGAAACGATAATAATTCAAAATACCTATTTATTAATTGATAAAATGAGCAAACCTTTATGACTACAGAGCAGTGTACAGCAGTGTTACACGCAGTATAGATATTAGGTAGGTATACTACACATCACACGCACGCAGTCTACAATAAAAATAATAATAATAATAAGGAAAATCAGCATCGGAAACGGGGCGAGAAAATGGATCGTGCTGAGGTTCTAAAACCCACAAGATTCTGCAGCTTTGGGGAAGAGCGCCACGCACCCACACCTACCTACCCACACGCGCACACACACACACACACACACACACACACACACAAACACACCCACTCACCATATATTGATGTACATATTATATATAGCCATATAGGTATTCGTTAGGGGCGAGGGGGAGACGCACGTGACGGCCGTTTCCGTCGTTAATGAATATAGTTCGGCAAAACGGTATAGCAGAATATAATATGCGCGTCGTACGGTGTAACAAAAATAGTAACAGGTAAGCGGCGGCGGCGGTGACGTGACGTCCGCGCGCGCGTACGTGGGTGGAGCGTGTGGAGGACCAATGGTGTACGTGCCTGGGCGTGTCCGGCGAAGAGCGCGCGCGCTCCGCCGCCGTCTGCAGCGTCTCGGTTGTGTCGCGCCGCGTCGAACCCTCCGCGCGCCGGCACGAACGTCCGACGTCGTCTCAGTGCGGACCGCAACCTGCCCGTCCCGGACGTGTCGTCTTGGATTTTCTCGAAACGCCGCGCGCGCGCTAATATAGGTACCGCCGATCGACGTGCGACTGCTGTACAAGTGACACCTCTCAACGATATTATGCAACACGCGCGCACACGCACATAATAATATTTTAATACGCGTCTTACGTTTACGCCTGCTCACCTCATCGTACCTCGCTACCATCTCATAATGTTATATTATCGTATCACATTAACGTGCCATGTAGATCTGTGGTGAAAAACGAGACGTTTTACATCCGTCCGACTTTGATTTCGTTCACGATTTTGTGCCTCACGCGTGTACAGGGTGCAACACACATTCAACATTATATTATACGTCACGCGTGCACGGATATATCGTCCTATATGTAGTATAGATCGTTTGGCAGTGCCGCTGTGTGCGTTTATCCGTCGTCGCCGCGATCGCAAGTGTTCGTCGTCGTCGTACAATATATTTTTATAAATTACGTACGCGATGCGCTGCCGCAGCTAACAATTGACGCGGGCTCACGTACGCTGGATTTTTCACACGCGCACATCATGCTGCCGTACCAGGCGATGGCCATGGACTACGCGTCCGCGTCATTCCAACGACATCCGGCCGCGGCCAACGTGGGACACCATCACCACGCGGCCGGCGGGCCCGGTGGCGGTGGCCCAGGGTCGGCCGCCGCCGCGTTCAGCCCGTCGTGGTTTGTACCGGCTGACTTGTGCATGCCGTTCGCCAAGCAGAATCAGCCGCTCGTTGAACCGGGGTCAGTTTTTTTTTCATACCTATAATATGAAACCGTATTATTATTTAATTTTTTTTTTGGTTTTTACGAGTTCCAATAATTTATTAGTTATAACTTTATAAGACTACAGCGGATGAGGTATATACCACGCCACCACGTTATAGTCTTTATTTTATAGCTAGGCATATATCTATTGTTATGGTTCACATTATTCTCTCATACTTAATGTAAAATATAACTTAGTAATCCAAAATGAACAGGTATATTATGAATTAGGTACCTAATACTATCTATTAATATAGTCTCATTATATTTTATTTTTATTTTTTATTTCTACGAACATATTTTATTAGAAAGATTAACAGTATGTAAAATGCACGTATATTGATGGTCGGTATATTAATATGTGACTAACATGTGCTATGTCATATGATGCACATTATATAGCTATTGATAGTCAGTGCAATGTAATAACTAGTTTAAAATATTTTATATTTTTGGAGTACCTATTGAAATTTCATACTGTGCTGAAATAGTACAATTGGAAACTTGAGAACCACCTATACTCGAGTACTCTGATTATATTCAAAATATTATTCCAACTTTTAATCTTCCAAAATTTGTTATAGGTTTTAATATAATGAAAGTTTAAAAAAAAAATTATCTATGAGTATGACTTACAATATACTGAAGTAGGTACCTATATACTGCGTATAGCTTTTTGAGATTTTTCAATTGAATCAAATAATTAAAACATTGTAAAACCAACAGGTCCTTCTTTACAATTCCTTTTTTTTTTTTAATTTTAAGACGTAACTCTAAAGTGAATTAGTGAAATCTGTAGTTGTCTAAAGGTGGAATCATTCGATACCATATAAACTTTCCAATAAAAAATTGTTAAACATAGTTTAATTTTTATATATGTTTGTATAAACAGAATTCGTAAAATATATACTTTTATAAAGCTTTCCATTTGACAAACAATTATCTTTATTAAATAATTATTAACATGTTAAAAAATCTATAATTTATTATTACTTATTAGTAATCAGAAAATATTTTTAATTGTCTGTGATTTAAGATTATTTGGTTTTACCGTTAGCACTTTGGTTTTAGTTAAAATATAATATGTACTCTATATAGGTACGTGAGTAACGCAAGATTAGCTGTATGCTTAATTAAAGCATTTTTTTTTACCTTTGTCAACTTCTTCAGGCTTACCTCATCTCTACATATGTTACACATATTGTGAGTTTTATGTATCATATTGTCAGGCTATTTGTACAATCTCAAAAAAAAAGAAAATAATATACATGTATTAATGTGAACAATAAATATATAATATATTAATATATATATTACATTATAAATTATATAGATATAATATAGTATAGTATACTTATATATATTTAGCAAGCATGTTGAGTCTTTAGACATATGAAAAAAAATGATTCTTTAATTTACCTTCACTCGTGTACCTATACGTATGTCTTTTAGTATAAGATGCAGCGTCTATCATAAAAATGGTTGGATAATATAAAACGAATACATTTTTTTTAAAAAATGAAGGGAAATAAAAAATTTTTTTCTTACCCACAAACGGCGTTCTGAAATAAATTTTACTGGAAAATCGAAGATAAGACGCGTGCCGAAAACGGTTTGGAATTCCTGAACACAACAACTACGGTTGTCATTGTTAACGTTAATTGGATGCGGGTGGCCTCCGAACGGCCATGTACTTTTCATTAGCGCCCATCCGACGACTGTACATAGTGTGTACCTATTATACCTATACGTTTCACGGTCTTGATAATAACTACTGCTACTGATCACCGACTCCCGAGTTCTGTTATATCTCAGAATGACTTTGCTCGTTTGTTTGTTGTTTATAGCCACAGAGCTGTAGATTCATCAAAACTACACCTTACTATTATTATTATTTTTTTTTAGATTCCTTTCATAAATCCAATCGTTTATAATAACTATAACTATTCTTAGCCCCCTCCCCCCACCCAGGAGTGTGCGTGCACCGTTCATTTTATAACAAGTGTTTATACTAATCGCTGGTGGTGCAGAACGGGTGCATCCCAGGGACGCCACATCACAAAATGTTAATAAAATATGTGTATGATATTCTTGTGTCACCAGATAACCGTTCCACGATTTGGTTATCTTTTCATTTATTCTTTTGTTCTGAAAATCAAAAATATCATGTCATTTGAGTGTGAACTATTTAAAAGGAATATATTATTGTTGCATAGCCGTATTATTGTATTAATCAAAAGACTTAATAGATACCTATAATGTAGTTTTTTTGTGTGGTAGACGATAGTCCGATTAATTCAATTTCCACCTCCAGGCAATTTTTTATTTCGTTTCTAGTCAAATTGGACTACCATTTATGAATCATGACTTCATGAGTGAGTCTTAAAGTCATTATTTTTTATGAAGTATAATTATTTCAAACAGACATAATATTATGAAATGACTGATAATTTTGTTTAAGTTCCTCAATAATTATTATAGAAATTTCTATAAAAACCATGCAAATACGAAACGATATTTGGTTAATAATCCGCTTGAATAATCAAATATTCTCAAATAATTTTTTATTTTGTCCACAAATTTACAAATTGTACGACTTAAAACAGAGACAAATTATTTCATCGCAAATACCGATGAGATGTAATAGGAAATATTATTAGATGAAGAAATGGTTACTAAATAAAAACAATGAACATTTAAAAAATTGCAAACAAAATAAATAAATATAATTTTCTATGTTTAACTATTAAATACTAATTTTGTACTAATTTGACTTAGTAAAAGTTGTCCGCTCGGTGCAGTTTCTTATTTCGATCGATCACGCTAAATCTACCATTTAATATAATGTCTTATAGTACGATACCATATGTAAGTATATTATTAGGATGTAAATTATATTATAAACAAAAACTATAAATTCCAATTGTTTATTCATCTGCAATATAAGAAACTTTATTATTTTATCTACTATGGTTTTTGAAAATCGTTAATAATTAAAAGTAGGAATATTTGAGAGTTGAGACCATATAATTAAGAATGTCATGACCTTACATTAAGCTAAATAATAATATGGTTATTTATCCCCATAAGACATATTGCATAATATAATATACCTATATATGCACCGACTTTCATACACTATCATAAATTATAATCATGTGTCGAATTCATCATAATATTAAAGCTATTAAATCCTTTTCAAGATTTATAAGCTATTCCATCGACATTACAGAGGTATAATGACAAACGACGTAGGTATATGTATAGGTATTAGTGTATTACTGATTCTGTCTTTTTTTTATTATCTGAATCGACTGAAACGTATTGTAGTTTTCCATACCAAAATAAAGATATAGGTGTATATTATATAATAATAAGGCGCCTTTGGTGTTTTCTTTTTAATTTCCTGGATTGCTATTTATTATCGCCTGTTGATAATAGGTAGGTACACATACGCAACCTTACGATCCAGCGCAGAACAATTGTCGGACGGGCGACGGCCTGTGATCGTATCGGTTGCACCCGTATTTTAGCAGCTCATTTCCGTCTGCCTAGCCCATATACACATTATATTCCTATGGGACTTCAATACTGTTGCATTGCTGCTGACCAAATGCCTTTATTTCCGAGTTTTATGGTTGTGTGGCTGAAAAACACTCGTAAATTCCCCTTTTTCTTACGCCGCCGTATACTGCAAGTCGTATTTTTTTTCTTTAACGACCAACCCATTACCTGAGACCGTGTCAATATTATCTGTGTGCAGCGAATGAAATATTTTTTCCGTTATCCATTACAGCTGTATATACAATTATAGTTAATTCGAGTACCATTAACATTTTATTTCTAAGTAATATTATTAAAATTAGTAACCTAATATCACGTTTTATAGAGTTGCACCAATATATTATCCGTAGATTATGCTACTACAACTTTGGTTATAATAACTTTTCTATTGCTGGATAGTCATTATTTACATGGAAATTTAATATGTACATAATAAAAACGATTAATGGATCTAGTCCTTTATTTACATACCACGTTAAAACGTTAAGTTTAATAAATTATAAATATTTTTTTTAGTTAGATTAATTTTCGTAATAGGTCTAATATTTTTAGTCTATTGTATGTTTTAAATTTGTTTTTAGTAACTATGTAGTAGTTAGATATATTAATATAGTATGTATGTATAATGTATATATATGCCACAAAAAGTATATGAAATACTCATAGCTCCTGTTCAAACGTTAATTCAAAATTTCATTGGACGGTAGGTTTTTTTTTATATAATGTGATGCCAAAATTGTATTTCTTGTTTCCATTGCAACATTTTGCAATTAGAAATCAAATATAAATATCTGTATCCATTTTTGTGACGAGTTATTCACGAGTGACGACTTCCAATTCACCACACCTTTTATTACATTATACAACTGGTATTATATATATGTCGAGAAATTAATCCAATGCAACAATTAAATCATTTATTTCAACAATATTTAAATTTTATAACTTTATAATATTTATGTTTATAATCATCGAGACGTGAAACGACATAAGTTTTAAACTTGAAATCGAGTTGACAGAAACAAGGAAAACTACCCTTTTAAACCCAGCGATTTTTCCTCCCTCTGGAGATACAATACAAACGACTATGGAACGGCTGATTAAAAATGTACCCACCATAAAGTTAGTTTTTACGAGTGTTATTCCCCTTTCTTTTGCTCAACAATTGTAATTTGTAGGAAAATTTTTTTATTTACGAGTATATTAACACGTGCCAGAAGTATAGTTCTAAACATATTTTATGCGTAAACATATGATAAAAACTCGACAAATTAGTATTTGTTTGCAAAATAAATCGGTGTTAAGTATAGTTCTACTTCGGATTATGTTATAGCTTCAGAATTATGATGGGTGTAGTACGTATTGGCATAAAATCGAAACCTGTCGAAATCGGCATGACGTTGAATCCGTCT